AAAAAACCCCCCCCCCCCCAAAAAAAAAAAAAAAATCTTCTCAGACAGGTATCTCCTCCACGTAGACAATAATAAATCCTTACTCTGCCTTCCACCCAGATAAAATATACCCTGTCCTCCAGGAACTTGTGGGAATGGCGTTCCTGTACCTTTTTTTTTTCTTAGCTATACATTTATTTTGGGAGGGAGGGATCTTGGGTGCCTAACCTGACCAATTCCCCAGGACTCGATTTCTGCCGTCCTCCATCACTGAAACCGGTCTACAGACTCCCTTAAAGCCTCTTGGCCTGGATTTCGTGATTATTGGACCTTTCTATTTGGGAATGCAGCAAAGAGCGCGTAGCGTGCATGCAAAGTTTTAAAGCCAGCTCTTACGTTCGAGTGACCGACTTTTGGATTAACCTGGGGCAAAAATTGAAATGGTTTGTTTTAATTCAAATGATCGTGAAGTATGAGTAACTGTCGTCGACGATGGGAGATAGGCGGGTGGGGGTGAGATGTCATGTCTTGCGCAAGGTTTAATACAATTTCCGATGACTTCATTTAACCACTTGTCTGGATTGCAATCAAATAAGTACCTCACAGATCCATATTTGACCTCTGAAGTGGACACTCACCACCGTAGAAAATAAAAGGAAGTGAGATGACACCAAATATATTTTCAATCACACAATGTTAACCTATTAATTAAAAATATATTTATCAAAATTTAAAAATGTGGCTGGTTATTTTATGACGTGGTTCGACTAAGTTCACTAAGTAAGACTATTCCTGGATGCTATTATCGTGAGTGGACCCAGTTGGGCAGACGACGACGAAACATAAAACTGCAAGGTCCAGGAATAGGTGTGAATTGCTCTTAGCGCCTTAACAGTATCCGGTCAAGGGCAACCACTCTGATTTTAAGCGTTTTAGTTCCTTTTTATTTATTTTATCCTCAGTCTGTTTCTTTTACCCAGGGGCGTAACTATGATGAAGCAGGTGTCCAAGTGGCGCAATTGTGGGGAACCAGGTGCTTAAGTGGTGTATTTGTGAGTAAGTAAGTTGTCCCAGGGGCGTAACTATGAGGAAGCTGGTGTGAAAGTGGGGTAAATATTAGTAAGTAAGGGGTCTCAGAGGCGAAACTTTGAGGTAGAAGATGCCCAAGTCACGTAACAATCAGTAAGCAAGTGTCCAGGTGACGTCACTATCAGGAAGGAGGTGCCCAAGTTACGTAATTATCAGAAATCAGGTGTCCAAGTGACGTAACTATCAGGAAGCAAGTGCAAAAAAAATTGATGCCATCCTTTGTAACGATACACAAGTTTACAATAGTTCAATGATTTCCCATCAAATCCAGTTCAAGATTATCATGTGTCACTCATTGTCTCTATTAACCTTGGGCTTTTCCCCCAAGCTACGCCTCTGTGACAACTGATGTCACAGTAGTTAGTTATCTTGAGTTTGATTTCTAGCAGGGGATGAATGACGTAGCAAAGTCCGTCTAGCAATCACTCACATTGCCTTTGACTCACTTCTCCATCTCTGTGTGTGGACAGACAAGTGAATTGTTTTGTAGGTTTGCTTGGAACTTTGTTTCACTAGTGCACTTTTATTTAACAACGCATTATTTTATGAACACGAATTCAATAGAAAAAATATCATTGAATACTTGAATAAATATTTACCGGGTACTGTAAAGTTGCACGACTTTGGGGTCTGTTAGTGTCGCAATGGTATTTCAAAGACACATTATAATAAACTATGTATGAATATATTATACTGATATTATGACATGTGTAGATTCAATAACTTCAATAAGACACAGATGCCTTAAATATTGTAACTGAATTAACAGATATTTATTTTCACCATTCTTTATTTTCCCCATTCCTGTGGTGACCCCCCCCCCCCCCACACACAAAAAACATTACGACATTGTCACGTGACTCTAACAGGACTGTCTTGTTAGCCACGTGTCATGCATCATGGCTGCCAGAAGTTAATTTCTAAGGTTGTCTAGAAAACATGGCTGGGATTTTGTGAGAACTATTATGAAGAGGCATATAGCGTGTGAGACAGAAAAAGGTCCCCAACAGAATGGATAAGACCTCTATTTCCCGCTGAGAGAAAAGGTCTTTGATCATGTGAGGTCCCCAATCTCGTCTACAACCACCATGGTCAAATGTCAAATTCGACTTTACGGAGAACATAACTGAAGTATATGGCGATGTTTTAAGTCAGGACACATGTACAGTTACATACAGGGTGATGTGCCGTCAGGAAACATGTACAGTTACATACAGGGTGATGTGTTAAGTTAAGACACATGTAAAGGTACATATAGGGTGATGTGTTGTCAGGACACATGTAGTTACATACAGGGTGACGTGTTATCAGGACTAATGGACAGTTACATACAGGGTGATGTGTTAAGTCAGGACACATGTAGTTACAAACAGGGTGAGGTGTTAAGTCAGACACATGAACAGTTACATACAGAGTGATTTGTAAAGTCAGGACACACATACAGGGACATACCGGGTGATATGTTAAGTTAGATGAATTTACCAGGACACATTCAGCCACAGTACAAGGCTATACTTTAAATCAAACTAATTAACAGAGATAACACACAAACGATTAGATACAACACAAGTCAAAGCCTTGGACATCTTTGCATGCAAAAGACTAACAAAATATATATATAATTATTATAATTGTATAGACTATTTTGACACCACTGATGATGGATCCCGCAGGGATCCCATTCATCCATATCAACGATGCCCTGAACTTAATTCGTCTAAATACTTTCAGTATTCAAGATGGCTACTAAAACAGAGACCCCATGGTTTACACGCAGACTTTGTGACGATGAAACTTGGGGGAAATTAAAATGAAAACAATGGTAACTGTGAAGGGGGGCGAAATCGGTATCATCTTGTAGCAATGTAGTAGAGTAGGGATCCCTAATTGTGGACAATAATCTCCTAAAAATCTAGATTGGTAGATATGGCCGAGCTTAGTGAAGCAGCCATCTGTCTGAAACAGATACAAATGTTAATAAGTATTGCCATCCGTCAAACTGATAGGTTGAGAATCACTGCGGAAGGCTTTATGTTATTAGCGGTAAATATTAGAGGCTATGTGCTTTCCTTTATAAAAAGTTACATTACATTGTCTTTGGTCTCAACCAGTCTTTTCAAGCTATTAAATTTTTAGAGGCGTAGGTAGGGTGTAAGTAGGCGCTATTTTCTCTATATTTATATGGATGGGCGGTATTTTCGGACAACTGCATATTATTTTTTTATTAAAGGGGGTGACAAGATTCTTGGCCCGTCCCGGACTAACCCAACCACACTAATGAATACAGCTGAACTGTAAACCAGGGATTCCGAACCTGAGGTTCTCGCATACCTAGGGGGTGCGAGAAGGCGTTTAATGGGGTTCGAGGAAAGGGGGGATTTAAAAACAGAGGAGACATTGGCTTTCAATTATAATAATAAAATGATATAATGTGTTGATATATTTTTAACCATTTCTTTATCCTTGGTTTAATAGTCTCAAGAGTTCATTTTTAAAATCCTTCATGGTTAACTTCCCTTGTTCGTGTTGCATTGGACAAAATCTTGAAACACTTTCCGTCAGCCTATCGAGCTTTACACTTGGCAAAAAGACTCATTCAATGACAATACATTTGAACAAATTGTATGGCCTAACTCCAAAAATCAGTTGATATGCAGAGTATGGGAATTCACAAATTATTGTTACTCACCGCATATTGTGTTTAATTGAGCGCGAGGCGGTGTATTTTAAGAGAGTTAGTTTTCTGCTTTGTAAGAGCAAGCAAAAAAGGGAGATAAGCCGTAAATACGTTTTAAAAAGTAATTTTTAAAAAAATTACCTTCCTTTTAATCTTTGCCAACAAAACACATTTTATTGGGTTTTATTTTAAATTTGTGTTTCATATGATTAATATTTTGCATATTATTAATAATGATTTATACCCCAAAAAAATAGTTTTTAGAGATTGTTTAGTGGTACATTTCTCTTTGCAATACAAGAAATAAATTAGAGTCTATCAAAATACATTAGCTTTTTGTAAGACTATTGAAATAATGTGTATGGTTGTGGTGTATAGGAGAGTTTGGGAAATGCTGCTGTAAACTTAAAAAATTGAAACAAGTTTTAATGAAATTTTCAACAAGGTTGGAATAATTTCAAAATACTCTTGAAAAATCAATTTTCAATAAGTTTACTGAATAAGAAATTCTTATTGACCGCATTGTAGAATTTAATTTTTTACATACTGGTAAAGTCTTGGCTCAAAAAGGGTTGAGGACCCATGTGATATGACATACTAGAAAAATGAAACAATGTCATACAATTCCCATAAGTTCTACTGCTATTTTCAAAGTAAGTCTCTTATAATAACAGAAGCTATCACAGCTAAAATCATTATCTTAAAGTTCTTTAATAAATGTCATAAATAGATATACCTTACAAATTACATATTTACTGATATTTTTTTAGATTGTCTTGTTACACTGGAGGCTGCCATAAATAAATATTAAAGGGCTTTTTTTGTTATAATATTCTCGCAGCACAGCCTTTGCATATCTATTTTAAAATCTTGCATTCCTTTTTTTTTATCCACTACACATCAAATTATATTTAAAGAACAAACAAAAATGTATCATAAAGACACTTTTATTTGGACACATAAAAACATGTCTGTGACTAGTCTGCAGATTGCAATATAAAAAAATACTGATATTTATTAATTTCCTAAGATATCATACACACTTCTTTAGAAACCATCATAACCTTTTTATCAAACATCTATATGTATAATAAATCTGCTTCTCCGGTCTAAGTTAGACTCTAAGTCACAGGAAATCAAAACTATTTGAAAGCTAATGGAGCCAGTCTGTTGTGACTGCTTAGAGTATAACCAAATCTTATATTTTAACTAATCAGTGTGTCTTAAACCGGTCAGTCGAGATTAAGAACAGGCGACTATTCTACTTAGAGATGGAAACATTACTTAAGGCTCAGCAAAGAATACATCAATGCTGAATCGTTGATGACGAAATTATGTACACCATATAATAGGGTAATATCAATATATTGCTGAGATCATAATTCGAGTGTACACATCATTGAATGAAAGACCCATGGTACCTGGTACAAAAACTGTTAGCTCACTAGTGGGGATTCAAGAACTGCGGCAGCAGAGTCTGTAGTTGGGTCTGGGGAAACATGGCGTGGAGCTGTGCCTGGGGGAAAAGGGCCTTCAGGTGTGTCTGTGGGAGCAGCCCCTGCACGCACGCCTGGTGGATGAAATGTGAGGCAGGTATTATGTTAACTCCTGGCGGTATGATGTTGTAGCCTGCAACCTGAAGTGGGCCCACATGGCCGAAACACTTTTGGGTGACAGTGACAGGCTTGTTGTTGACAGAGTCCAGTTTTACATTCTCTGGTTTTGGACTGGCGGTGAAGAATGAATGAGAGAGAGCTGTTGCACAGTCAAGCCTGTGGTCAGGATTTAACTGCAGCAGGCAGAGCAGCAAGTTGATGGCGTCTTGATTCTTGACATATTTCTTCAAGACGTGTTTGATATTGGGGTGAGGATTGGTGGGCAGTGCCATATTGTCCAGGTAAGGCAGGTCCAGGTCAGCTGGCATCGTATCCCTGTCTATGGTTCCCAGCATACCAATAATACATAGGAGCTGAGGAATACAACAGATAACAAATATTCAGATCATTTAGTGACAAAATATTTGAGTTTCAAAGAATTTAGTCAAGTTAGAGAATATATTACATTAGTTACATTCTCAACAAATTTTGCAAATGCCTTATAAATATCTGTAATTTGGAAAAATTAAAGACATGGCACATCAGAAAATGTGTTAATTCTACCGGTACTGGATAAATATTATAGCTTCTTTCTTATAAACTTTTTGATGTGTATATATAAATCTTCATACCATTTTATAAAAGGATATATTTATAAAAATGTCAAAACTAAGCAATGTCATTTGCCCAAGTGCCATCAATTTTTTTTATTCTTTCACTGTTTGAAATAATAAACGTTGATGATGCCAACTGATAAACTAAACTAATCATATTTTTTTATCAATAAATTTAGAGACCATGAAGTACCTGAGCTTGCACTATCAATAAATACTATTTTGCTTACGCATCCACTGTTTAGAAGTGTATTTGTAAGAATTTAACACAGGGAGCCTGATGGAAACCCTAAATTTGGCATGGGTGCCATGAAGCGCAAATTTTAGAACCATAGGCGTAGTCCAATAAAATACACATCACATGCACAATGGACATATGGTGGACTACATATTACTGTAACATCTCTACTACTTATTACCTTCTGAGTATATCTAGCAAGTTCATTTGTAAAAATACATGCAAATACTATGATGATTCCTTCTAAACATTGCATGATATTTTTACAGCTTTCGAGATATAAATACGTTACATTTACATTTGGATGAATATTGTTGAATTTTTTTTAAACTTTTGTACTTCCTGACAAAATCTAATACCCTCACCCTCTTTTTCAATACGTAAGAACAGCCCTGGATCGACTAAACAAATTTAGTAAATTTGCCACTAGGGTGAATACAATTATATTACTGTAGCCATGTCTATCAAGTTCATTATGAAATCAAATGCAAGTTAAAACTAAAAACTTTTTTTTAATGGAAAAAACTACAGGAATGCATGTTTTCAACCCGGTCTCTTAAGATTGTAGTCTTAACGGGTCTTAGCATACAATCGTGAAAGACTTCTCAAACTTGTACTTTGTATGCTAAAATTATTAGAGTAAACAGCTCAACCGGGCAAATTTTGAACACACGGCCCCCCGGTTGCGTGGGGGGGTGGGGGTGGTTCCGTAAGCCAGGCTTATCCGTGTCCATTGCTTATCAATGGGGGGGNNNNGGGGGGGTGTGGTCCTTGATCCTGCTTTTGACTTTAACGGTTACGAATACGTCGGCCCGGGGTCCTGGACGCTGTTCTTCGTGAGCTGCCGTTCTAGAGCGTCCTGCTCAGTAACGCTTCAGCAGATATTAATGTCGCTACCTGAGCTTGTTCTATCAATAGGTCTAGAGACATTTATCTACTGAGCTAGTTCTATCAATAGGTCTGAAGACATTTATTTATCTACCTGAGCTTGTTATAGGTCTAGAAAATAAAATGAGTAAAACAGAGTAGGGTTAAACCTGAAAAAATAAACGCAACAAACAGCTAACGTGTCGGCAGAAAGCCTTCGTCAGCGAACAAAACAACAGAAAAAACGGTATAAAAATAAAAATAAGAAATAGCACTTAGCTGGTAAGTAGTATCTGTGGGCAGCAATAGAAGTGACTTAGTTTGACTTCTATTGCTGCCCACAGATACTACTTACCAGCTAAGTGCTATTTCTTATTCTTATTTTTATACCGTTTTTTTCTGTTGTTTTGTTCGCTGACGAAGGCTTTCTGCCGACACGTTCGCTGTTTTGTTGCGTTTATTTTTTCCGGTTTAACCCTACTCTGTTTTACTCATTTTATTTTGTACTAACCTGATTGCAGTCTCTCCCCTTATTACCCCTTATAGGTCTAGAGACATTTATCTACCTGAGCTTGTTCCGTGGTACCAGTGATAAACTTTGCCCTCACAAATAACTCAACAGTGATGCAACCAAAAGACCAGACATCAACAGCTGGACCATACTTGGTAGCACCCAGAAGAAGTTCAGGCGAGCGATAGTGCAATGTAGCAACATCAGGAGAGTAACACTGAGCAGAACTGGTTGTTGAGAATTTTTTAAAAATAATTTTTAACTTAAATCATTAATGAATCAAAAGTCATCATTCTGGTCTTAAATTAAAGGCCGAGTTTCAAAATAACAAAAAAAATATGTGTTAGAACTGATATATAACCTATGTCACATCCCCCCCATCTTTACTAACGTTAAACCTTGCAACCCTCACCACATTTTAGTAACCTTTGAATTCCACTTTATTTGAAATATTTTTTTTTTTCAAATATCATTACTACATTTCCTTTTAATCTTAAACCAGATTGTGATTCTTTCTGACACTTCCTCAACACAATTAAATATTTATTCCACTCATCTATAAGTTTATCTTTATGTTCTTCTTTTTCTGCGGTTGAAGACTATTTACTTAAAGTGTTTGTAAGTGTCACATCCTCTTCGTTATATTTCAAGTCAATTCAACCTGAAATGCAGTCCTCTCCATATTACTCCTATAGTTTATTCTGCTTTCACTGTAATTAAAATGTGTGGTAAATTATGCTTTTGTATATTATTAAAATTGTCAGCTCACCTTTGAAACCTTGCCATTCCAAAGTCAGCAATCTTAACAATACCATCAGTCATCACCAAAATGTTACTAAGTTTCAGATCACGGTGCAGTATTCCTTTGCTGCAACAAGCATGTATTAAAGACATTTAGGATATTAAACAATAATGTCAATAATCAAGTTATCTAACCAAAGTTTAAAATGTCTAAAAAAGTAAAGCACCTACTAAAACTTAAATGTGCAGTCCCCCAGCACCCATTTCTTATAAAATATTTGAGTTTTTCTTAACCCTTTACAGTCCAACCTATTCAGCCTTGTCTACTCCCAGCGCCCAAGCAAAGGGACATAACTCCATTTTAAATGAAGGTTCTTTATCTAATTAATTTTCAGAAAATAAACTAGAAGCAACAAAATAAAATAAAAAATACCTAAATACAAAGAAATGATTAAAGCAAAAGTTAAACCTAAAAATAGTTTCAGAGACCCTCCCACTCATGAAATAGTGAAGCTTCATTAGGCCTAAGTTCTTTCAAATGTGTATCCAAAGCTTAGATAGCCATTTTTTACAGCGAAAAAATCGCGACTTTTAAAAAAATCATAGAAAATCAGCCCCTAAACACACCGCGGTCAAACTAGTATCGAAATAAATGCCGACAACGAGGCTTTCTTCCGGTAGAACTATAAATAGTAATGCGCAATGGACTTCCGCTGTGCTAAGAACGAAAGTAAACAACCTCGAAACGGGCGGGTTTGGCCGCATCGGACTGTACGCTTAAGGAAAAAATCGGCGCATTTCGGGCGCATCGGACTGTAAAGGGTTAACAAGCTCATTTGTTACGCAGAAGTCTGCTAGTCTTTCACCGTACTCATTCCTCTCTCCCACACCAAGGCGTCCCATAATTTTCTCATACCCACTGGTTTCCGATCTTGGTGTTTAGGTCTCCCATTAAGATGTTTAGGCCTCTACTTGGGAATTTTTCTATTATTGCTTGTAGTCTATTGTAGAAAGTTTTTTTCTTGTCCTCTTTGCTATCATTGGTGGGTGCGTTACACTGTATTATGCTCATCTTTATTTTCTTTTTCTTGTTTCGGAAGGTTGCCGTTATTTTTGGTCTATGGGCTCCCATCCAATCAATGCCTCTTGTGCCATCCGTGACAACATAAAAGCCACGCTGTGCGTGTCCAGAGCTTTTTCCTCCTCATGCCCAGAGTATATTAGCATTTCTCTAGAGGCCAAAGTTATCTGTCCAGCTTGTATCCAACTTGTTTCGCAGATGCCAAGCAGTGTAAGTTTGTAGGTTCTCATTTCTGCAGAAACCTGCGCTGCTTTCCCTGTTTCATACAAGGTTCTGACATTCCGTGTGCCAATGTTTTTTTCCTTAGAAAGGAGGGTCTTCGGCCTTGAGGCTTCTAGTATAGCTTGGTTTTGGCCACAAGGCTTCATAGCTCTCCTTGAAGAAGTAGAGACCTCTCTTCTCAGGGCTGAAATTTGTTAGATTTTTGTTGTTGGCGTTTCTGTAGCAATTTGTTTTTACGGGTGAGGTAGCTCGCCTCACGATATAAATATGCTATTTTTGACTTATTGTTTTAGGATGAATACTGTAGAATACTTTAATAACCTATGTACTTTCTGCAGAGACTCCCTGCAACCCAGCCACACACACCCATAGACAAAAATCTTTAAAATGGACAAGCCCCCTCCCCCCTAAGTGTGTATGTACTATGGCCCTGGATTGTCAATCCGATTGAATACAAATTGTCTCAAGGGTGACTAAGATAACATTACAGTTGTCGTGTCTCACGACTTCACACGACTTCATTATGAAAACAAAAAGCAACCATTTGACAATCACCACAATCATTTCAAAATTGTGGGGAAAATGTGGCGGTGTTAATCTTATAGACTAAGATATTTAGATCCCTCCCTCCCCCACCCGTGCATAAAATCTCCTAAATCAACACCATCCCATTACACTTTCAGGGCAAACGAAATATAATTATAGATGGTCCCCAACCAATCGTAATTCTCGATCCATTCACGGCTGGATGAAGAATGTAAATGGAAGTTAAAATAACCGAAAATTATTATTTTTTAATCTGAAAAACTACCGGAAAGTTTATATTTTAACACCAGTCTCTTAAAATCGTTCTGACAGGTCTTGGCGTACAATCGTATAAGACATCTCAAAATCATACATTGTACGCAAAAATATGTCTGCTGTTCGCGTGTAGTTCTTTTCCTCCTTAAGTTCTGGGGTGATGAGGACTTCTCCGGGGGCTTTCTGGTTTTTCATTGAATTGATTACTTCTATAGTTTCATCAAAAGTTGGGGAGTTTATTAAAGAATCTGTCCATTGTCAACATTTAGCAATCCCTCAAAATATTCATCAAACCTCTCCAGTACGTCACTATTTCTCCATTATGGCCCTGACACATTTCATTCATTTCGTCTTTTATCTTCATGTACATACCTGTAGTATTTCCCTCTCTTGATGAGTCTTCTTTTTATTTTATTTTAATTCCTGGTCTATGTTTATTATCTCTGTTAATTTCATCCTTACTACTTGCTGCAATATACATTAACTGTTCTTAAAATTTTCACTTTCAGTAAATTTTTTTTTTTTGGGGATTACTAACTAACTTAGTTCAAACATCCTAAACAAAAGAAATTACACAGGAAAAAAAAAAAAAAAGCAGCCATTGAATATATTACTAGTCTGCTTTAGGACGTTAGCCATGTAGACGAAACAGCTCATTAAATATACATAAATTTATAGGATGGAGAGCTTCTAGCAATACTTGTTGAGACAGATAGATCTTACCCAATGTTCTAAAAATTCTGAAGAGCTGGTCAATTTCAGAATCACCTGGAAACAAAGCTTGTCTTCTAACCTGGCATATATAAAAATAAACAAAAACAAAAATATAATGTTGTTAATAAAAATTTGATTACATGGTTATAACAATTAATATATATCTTCATCAATATATATCTCCTTGACTCAAAACAGATTAATTTGTTTAAATTACTAGGTATGATATGTATTTAGAATTTTAAAACTTTTATCGAAACATTTAACCCTTTTGGACTCTGATAAGCAGCCATTTCTCAATAAGTTCTCCACTTTTAGGGAAATATTTAATGACTGACTATAACTTTCTCACCATGGACTTTGACGTCAATTTTCTAATTGCTAATAAAATTCACTAATTATTAAAATAAAAATTTTGGGAAAAATGTTTACACTAGAAAAATTAACTAAATGCACAAAGTACAGGAATTGCTCATTTGTACTGTATCCGAACCTAAGTCAATATATATAAGCTTCGTTGTAAGCATTCCTAGTACAAAGCATTGAGAAGAATCAAATGTTTTACTTCAATACTGAATCATAAGAAATTATAGAGATTTCAACTACCATTGTCAACAGAGGCACTGTGGCTTCTAAAATGGACTATGAAAGGCATCATGAGCATAGCATAATGCTGCATCCTTTATTATGTGATTGACTTGGACTATTAATCTCTCTGCTAATTGAGATCCAATGTGAAGGCTTAGTGAAAGTCCCTTAAAATCATTTTCTTGGGAAAATTAAATAAACATATTGGTATTTAATATAACACAGTAGGCCACAGAAATAAATGAACTCATTGCTTACCATCTCAACAAATATACAGCCCAGACTCCACACATCAACTGGGGTTGAATAGAATCTGCTGCCCAGCAATATTTCAGGTGCTCTGTACCATAGAGTCACAACCTATGAACACACAACAAAATGTTATAATTTAATCATATTAATCCTTCAGCAGTTTTTTTTTTTAAACATGAATCCATCCTAAATGGCAACTTAACACATTGTCATATCATGGAACATTTTTTATTTTAGATTTGTTCAAAATGATATGTAAACCAAATAATTAAAATAATAATTAAAGAAAGCATTAAAATTAAATATATAATTTATAATATTTTTGCAAAAAGTATGAGGCAAATAAGGTTTTCAGTCTTCTTTACACCTTCTAAAGCACTTGAGAGAGATCTTATAGCAAAATAATAAAAGTATATTTTAAATATGTGATACTTCTTACAATTTCAATGAGAAATGTAATTCACATAAAGTACATATGTGTGTAACTTCTGACGAGCACCCCAAAAACACATGCAAGTCCAAATTAATATTGCTTTCCATAATTACTAGGGCTTAGGCTGTCTACAAGAATTTTCCATTCAACTCGGCCCTGTGCTTTCCTTTTCAGTTGCTTCTAGGCATGTCACATACTTCATGTGTCTCTCTAGCTCACATCTCCATGTATTCTCTGGCGTTCATCTCTACCCTTTTCCTTGTGGATTCTGTGTTAGGGATTGTCTGGTCTGGTGGCGCTCTGAGCCAGACATAACACGAGGCTGTAAAATTAGTTTGATGAGAGCCTCCGGTCTTGGGCTCCATATTAACTATTGCGAAGGTGGAAACCAGGGACAAGATTCTTTGTGAATCACCATCCAATACCAATGGTAGCAGTTCTATGCTCTGGTAATGTTATTTGGCAGTTTAAAAAGAGTGTGGCTTATCCACTGCTATATTTGCCTTACCATGCCTTCAGCAATCGGCTGTTTGTAACTCCTTGTTGGTGATGATATTTGGCCATTTTATGTTCAGGATCTTTCAAAGGCAACTATGAATGTCTGTACTTTCTGCTTGATGTTCTCCAAGATTCGGCTCTAAAGAGCAGAATAGTTTTGACAGATGTGTTGAAAATTCTGACTTTAGTTTGCAGAGTCAGCTCCTTTGAATACCATATATTCTTTAATAGCACACATGTTGACTTAGCCTTTCCTGACATCAGCTTCTGATCCACCATTTATGTCAATGGTGCTGCCCAAGTAGGTGAAATGCCTCCACTATATTCTCTGTTAGTTTACTTGAGTTTATCTTCATGTTCTTTGACATTGAGTCCAAGCTGTGCTGAAATGGTGGCTACATACTTGTCTTTTCATGCATTGAACAGAAGTGCAACATTGCCTGCAAACTCTAGGTCATTCAGTTGTTCATGGGGTGTACACTAGATCTCATTCCTCGTATGTCTGGGGATTTTTCATTATCCAGTCAGTGGCAAGGTTGAATAGGAAGGGGGACAAGAGAAATCCTTGTCTGACTCCTGTTTCCACTTTAAAGTCATCTGCGAGTCTATTTTTGTGCACCACCCAGAATGTCATTTCTTCATAAGAAATCTGAATGATCCTGACCAGTTTTCCTGGTACACCATGATGCCGGAGAACTTTAGATAAAGGGGGAGTTCAATTTAAGGACTGTTTTACAATGATGCATAAAGTTGCAATTTGGTCTGTGCATGATCTGTTTCGGAGGAAGACAGCCTGTGGATCTTGTAGCTGTGTATCCCCATGGTCCAAATTTAAGCTGCTTGATAGCCTTGGCTATTCTTCCTTATTAGGGACCCTGTCTTCTATTTGTAAATATATGTTAAATAAACATACTATAAAGCTATTAAAGTACCTCATGTGTGTAGGTTCTGACTGGCACCCCAAAAGCCCTTGCAAGTCCAAAATCTGCCAATTTGATATTGCCTTCCATGTCTATAAGTAAGTTTTGAGGTTTTAAGTCCCTGTGAAGTACTCTGTGTGAGTGGCAGTATGAGATACCATTGAGTAACTGGTACATGTAGCTCTGAAATATTAGGTCACAATAACATCAAATTGAGATATTATTTAGTAATAGCAGAACATGAAGTACCTTTATCAGAGTTCATATTTAAGAAAAAGGTAATAATTCAATCACAACAGTACGGTACAATACTTTTCATTCATTATTAATATTTTTAAAAAAAGGACATAAAAGGTAATCATTCTGCTTGTGATCAAGAAAGATCTTTGGCATTCAAAGAACAACAGAAAAAAATATGTACAGAAGTAACTACTGGGTATATGAATATTTTGTAAAGTGTAATACTCAGTAGTAATTATGAATTTTATCTCAATAAATAAGTACATAACATACATTATGATTTGGAGGAAAAAATGGTGGAACAACCTTTATGAGTGCTGGATTGATATGTTCATTGCTTGGAAAGGAATCCATATATTTTTTCAGATCTTTGGTGAGGTATTCAAATACAAGATATAATTTCATATCACAGTGAATCACATCCAGAAGTCTGAAATAATTAATTAAAAAAATTAAGACATTATCATTTAAAAAGTGGTCTAGTTAATAAATAGCCTGATGCTTCAACACATTGTTATTGTAAGTACCATATTAAAGTCTATATGGTTTTACCAGCATGATAAAAATGTAAATATTTTAAGTAAGTATAAAATATAATGATGCAAAGTGAAAAAAAGAAGCAATAAGTAAACAGTGAAGGTGAACATAATAGAAAACCCACTTACCTAACAACATTTGGATGTTCAAGTTCTTTTAGCAAAGAAATCTCCCTGATTGCTGTACTAGGGACACCCTCACTTTCCCTAAGACAAATATGAATTTTTTTATTTAATATAATCCTTAAAAGCAATTAAATATATGCATTAGGCCTATTTAATTCTTCAGTCACATAACAATATAGTATCTATTACTCAATCATAAGTTTGGAATGATCGTCTTAATGAAGAATATGCAATTGCGCTAAAAGTAACATTTTCCACAACAGACACAAGTTGAGGAGTTCACATTCCTTGCATTCCCCATCTGCAGTTTGCTTTTGAAAGGTAAAGATGTACAACAAAAGTTCCAAAAACTTTTGAAGTCGCAGGGCCCTTAGTGCATCCAGGCTTGCCCAAGGTTAGAAGTAGATATTGAATCGTTTTTCACTCTGTGCTGTTTGTAATGAAGCCCTGACACAGTTTTGGAACCTCTGATTTACACAGAAAGATATCTAAAGATGCAGCTATTATCAGATTGAACATACCAAGCCCCCACAGAGAGGACCAAACAGTCTACAAGGCAAGTGTGCTCAGTGCAATAAGAAATGTAGCACACATGGTAGGGAAACCCTGAAGAAAGACGAATCAAAACAGCGGTGGTTTTGACAGAAAAAAAAAAAAAGAACAGAGAACAATAACAATAGAAAAAATAATAATTAATCTGAGACAGTAAGATTGAGATTGACCTGATTGACAGGAAATTATTTTTTATTGCAGAAATGGACGCATATGAAATCTGAAAATCTTGGAATGATATGATTGACAGGAAATGTTAAAAGATTTTATTTTTAAAAAAGTAAGGGAAACAGAAGATCACTATAATACAGTGAAGCCTGCATATGTTAGTATTAAATTAGTATTAGTAAGGATCTGCTGGGGCAGATGGATGGATTATAATGGATACTGATTAGGTCATACCGTGGTCTACGCCTATGAGATATGATGAGAAAACTAATGCCAAATATAACAATGTTAAGTATAAGACATTCAAAATCAACGAATCAGAATGGAACTGAGAAAAAAATAAATAGGATTTGATTATAAATTATTATACTATAAGACTATACAGAGTAGAATACTCTCACAACCATCCCCATCTCCCTTTTTTTGGCCCACCCATGTGTATAAGTATAATAGTAAAATGTAGGCTTACACCACCAGTAGGCCATTTTTTATAAACTATAACACAGTTTCAGTTAGTAGTAATATAATTATAAATATTTTAAATACAAGGTCGAAGGACGATAGGAACATTGACATTAGACATTAGTTAAAAGATGCCGATGCGTTTTGATACACTTTGCAATTTAATTTTTCGCTTGGGAAAAAAAAGTCCACAACCATTATGTCTACTAACTTATTACTAAAATAAATATTTACAATTTGTTCAGTAATATTTTGAAATACAGTTGTCAGTTGTGAACAAAGAAATTTGAAAATGTATGCTTAGCAATGAAAAAGAAGAAAAATAGCTAACTGACTTACGCGTCTAGTCTAATTTTTTTCAAAGCAACATGTTTGCCTGACCCTTTCTCACGAGCTTTGTAAACAACGCCATACGTTCCTTCTCCGATCTTTTCAATCTTTTGAAAGTTTTCCATAGAGCTTTCCTCCATGCCAAAACCCATAGAGTATCCAGCATATGCTGAATGAGCCAGATCTTTTCTTTTACCACTCACTGGTTTCCGAGCTTACAACCGCCGTTGTAAATCTTGTTTCTTCGGAACACCTGACGACAATATTTCTACTGAAGCTTCCCGCGTTTGTAGTTCCGGGCTAAATAATATCGACTCATAGAATTGGCTAAATTTGAAGAAGTGGGTCAAAGGTTAAGATGATTTGTTTACAAATAAATCTTTTTGCAAAAAGCACGTGACACTCTATTTAAATCATTCAGCAATATAGATCTATATTCCAATGGTTGTGGCATTGCTAAAATCATCTGGAATCAACATATTCAGCCTACTATTTATTTGAATGTATTGTTAACGATACAACTGGAAAGCAAAAACAAAAACTAGGGTCACAGCTTAATATAATCTTAAGTTTTGGGAAGGAATCAAAGCTAATGTCCATTAAAGTTCTCATGAATATTATCCCTTTTTATCCTACAGTTACAGGGAAGAATATTTCAATTTATCAAAATCAAGGACAATGGGCCAAGTAAAAAGATAAGGAGCCATCCATAAAAAACATCCCGCTATTTTGGCAGAATTTTAACTCCTTCACAAAATGTCACAAATTTTATTTGTAGCTCAAATTAGGCCCAGACACTTGTATCGAACTTCATCACAAATTATTGACATCCCGCACGCCGTATATGTGTGACGTGATTTATGGATGTCCCCCCAAAAATCAAGAGTTATTAATCTGAACTTCAAAAAACAACAACATTCAATTACTTGCTAGAATTTAATTGCAAGAAAAATAAAATATTATAACACAATGTCATCTATGACAAATTAATATAATAATGAAAATTTAAGCTCTTATTTCAAGTATTGTCGACGGACTGTTTCAGCAAGATTTTTTTTTTTTTTTTGCAAGGGAAACATCGGGTAGAGAGATACTAACTAGTCTGTCAGTCACGGTCGCAAAAGGGGGGAAAGTCTTTCAGTCGGCCATAAAAAAAGTATGCGCCAAAAACTAGCAGTAATGGAAATCCTGCATCTCGAAAACGTTTGTCAACTGTGCAATAGCTCCAGCTGTCACGTGACTATAGAAGTGAAATGGATTACCTAGATATGTTGGGCAGTTATCCTTGAAAATAGGTCTTGAAACGGAGGAAAAAGTATTCACACTTGAGCAATATTTTGGCTCATACCTTAGTGAACGGGTAGGTTGACCGTGTTTGGTACAAGGTGGAAGGACAATTCTGAACGAGATTTAAAGAAAAAAGAAAGACGGCACCAAGTAACACGGTTCTGGTAAAGTACTCGACCAACGGGAGGCACGCTCTGATGGGCCTGTAAACACATGGGACTTTCGACGTTGAACCACTCATTCCAATACAAACCTGGATCCTCTTAAACATAGCCAGAAATGTACACTTTACACAATCTTGGTCGTATACCTGGCACAGCTCAGCGTTGTCCAACCTGTAAATGTAACCGGTACAAAAATACACCTATGCCCTTTGACAATCGGCGAAGGGACGTATTCCTGACGTTAAATTTGAACGATGTTTCCAAGGTCGTCACTTGAGTAGGCCGGGGTGGGAAATTAGCAATTAATTTGATACCCCTTTCTCCAACGAAGTTTAAGGTTGACATTAAAACTTAATTAATTTTTTATAAAAAAGGTGCTTCTGGAAAAGAAAAGATTTCTAATGCAAAATTTGGAACTTATCTATTCGAAATTAAAACGAATTTTTATTTTAAAGGCGAAACTCTAACCTCTTTCAGCACGCAGTCACTAAACAATTATTGAATTGACAAAAAATTTAATTGACACGATAACTAATATCCTATTTTAAATGTATTTTTTTTCTGGCTGTTGCGGAAGAAAAAGCTACGATGACGTCTCCATAATCTAGTTGACTTTTAAATTATCATTTTCATTTTTTCTTCTCCAAAAAACCACCAAAAAAACAACGTTTTTCTACAATTGATGGTAACTCAAACTGTAGCTAAATTCGAAGAAGTAAATTCTATATTTGAACAAACACCCACTATCGTCCAGACAGTGAGTTGACATTTAGTGATAATGTTGTGCATGGGAGCATGTGTACTATTGAGAGGATTTAATCACACAATTTAAATCCAGCAATGTCCGAGATATTTAAATTTGTTAGCAAATTTTGTAAATATATAAAAATTTTCCCATGATTTCTTACGAGATAATGTTTTTAATCGTTTAGCGTCATTAAAAAAATAAAAAATAAAAAAAAATCCTGCAATGCATTGCGGAGTGGTATTACTTTATGTCGCACAAAATCCGTGTTTTCAAAGTGTGGTACGCATACCCCTGGGGGTACGGGGAGAGTTTGGTGGGGTTACGCGCTTTTTTTGATTGTTATTAAAGTACAGTGGAACCTCTCATAACGAGTTTAATTCGTTCCAAACTCTTACTCGTTAAGCGAAACACTCGTTAAACGAAACAATTTTCCCATACAAATCAATGTAAAATACGATAATGCGTTGTTCCATGCTGAAAAAATATTCGTTTTCCAAAAAAAATTATTAACATTTATTCAAATAAAATTACTTATGAATTGTTAAGGAGTGTAACAACTTGGAATACAATTTAGATTTGAAACAAAAAACGTAAATAAAAATATGAATTTATGACAAATAATTAATCATTTTAAACTAGAAAACTGTCTAAAGACATTTCTTTTTGTCGACGCTTCAAAATTTGACGAACATGTGTCACAGCATTATCATTGAATACATTTGTAGCACGAATAGCCACCTCCTTATTAGGGTGATGCTTCTCAATGTACGATGCAACCGTTTCCCATGCTTTCAGTATTTCTCTTATTGCACTGTAAGATTGTTATTCTGCTACTTCCTCCTCCATTAATGAGGTCTCCTCCATAATTTCTTGCTGTGAAACACGATGCAACTCCATAAGCTCTTCGGTGGTCAACTCTTGACTGTGCTCTTTCACAAGCTCTTCAATATCGTTGATGTCCACCTCGAGTCCCATGATATTGGCCAATGACACAATCTCGTTAACTGTAGACTCCACAAATACTGTTTCACAATCACATTCAACAACACTCTCTGGCCAAAGTTTTTTCCAAGCAGAAGCGAGGGAAAAAGGGACTTCCCCTTTCTGCGTAACTCGTTATGCGAAATATCACTCGTTAAGGGAGCAACTTCTTCACATTTTTTTTGCTCGTTATGCGAATGACTCGTTATGAGAGGTGCTCGTTATGAGAGGTTCCACTGTATATGCAATTTTGTTTTAAAGAGGGGTACTCAGTGTTACGAAAATTATAAACAGGGGTACACAGGTTTTGAAAGTATGGGAAACACTGCACTAAAGGATAATTCATTGCTTCAGAAATGGCAACCATTACCCTATAAACTTCGCCAATCTGATAACGAAAAGCCACAATACTACAAATTCTTAATCCCCAGCGAGTATCCGATAAGGACCCTATCGTCAATGTTGACCACTGTTTTTCAAAACTTTTACAATGAGCTGTCCATGCAGCGACACACATCTGCTGAATTAATCCAAATGAGATGTTGCAGCTACAGTGGACTTTGCATTATTGCCAGCACAGCAGCATAAGTAGGGAGAGAGAGGGGAATTTCCCCCCCCCCCCCCCCCCCCCCCCCCCCCCCCTCTTTTTTTTTTTTTTTTTTTTTACCACCCCCCCCCCCCCCC